GGACTGTTGATACCTCTTCATGCAGAGGACATGGACACTGCCTATATCATGAATCTCTGTGGATGATAAGACTACAGTGGTGGCTTGGAGTTTTGGAGTTGCTTAGGCTTTTTTGAATGTCAATACAAAGGGGTCTCCATCCCAAACATTGCATGAGGTGTACACTCACCCAAGTGCCTTAGGATTTATACTGGGACGAGACACAGAATGAACACAAGAGATGCTTGAAAGAGATCTGAAGTGAGGAGATGAGGATGTACTTAAGGTGGCTAAGAAGGCATGTTGTAGATCTCTTTTTTTTTTTTTAATGTGTTCCCTCATACCAGAGTGGACCTTGCACCAATGCTGGCATTCTCACTTTAGCAGCCATAATGATAATTTTAAAAGCCATATATAATCATACATACATACTCACATGTAAATGTGTGTGTATATATGTATATATGTGTGTATATATACAAATATAGAGCTCCAACTTTTCTAAAGGCTAACTTTTCTAATGATCTGACTTTTCTAAAAGCTGAACCTTCCCTTTGAGTTCTTGATACTGTTCATCCCTCCCTCCTCCCGGCTTTCCCCTTGATGGCTGGCTTCTCTCCAGTAGACGTTGCTTATATTTGTATATATAACATATATGTGTATATATATATATATATATATATATATACACACACACACACACACACACCTCTATATATGTGTGTGTGTGTGTATATATGTATATACACACATGTCCACACACACACACAAAAATAAACTTTTTAGTAATCACAGCATTAAAACAAAGCCACTTTGTATTGAGTGGCACATGGGGGCAGTCAATTTCCCACACCAGAGCTGTCACTTGCTGCTGCACATGAGTGTCACTCTATGCACATGTGATTGAAAGCGCATCACATTTGCAGAAGAATCACTACAGGCCATGGGCTTGGGCTTGTTCACAATATTTGGCAGAATGCATGTTAGTGCTGGGACTGCCACCTCTGGTACAATAGGGAGTTCAGGAATGCCGTGACCAAAGGATAAAGCATCATGTGCGTGGTACTTGACACCGTCACCTCCTCCATGTGCTTTCTTTCATTCTCACAAGAAATGTGGTAGGGCAAATTTGTTCCTACTGTGTAGACCAGCAAACTAAGACATAAAGAGGGGTGAGAAGATGGTTTTGTGATCTCACAACCTCAACCCACGGGGAGAAGAAGGAAAATGCAAACTCTTCACCTTGTTCCTCACCTTGGTGGCTCCTGGAGTGTTCCACCCCAGTCTCTCATTGTCACCACCAGCCCTCCCCCAGGCCCAGCCCTCTTGCCCGCCTCACTTTGCCATCTTCATGAGCTGCCTTATGCTTCTTGATGTGGACTCCATAAGAATGCCCATTCACCAAGATGAACATATCTCTTTTGTCCCCTCAGTGCTCTGGCTCACCCCATAGAAGCTTTCTGCAGTAACTGTTGTGTCACTTGGCTGCCTCTTGGCAGAATCACCTCCTTCGGAAGGACCTACAGTAATTCTCAGCACATAGATTTTCATGAAATGAAACTGAAGGCAGATAGAATTAATCATACACAGTCTCCTTTTCTTCAGTTCTCCCCTAGCCCCCACACCACCACCCCATTTATGTGTACCATGAGTTGGGAAAGTTATGAAGGTTTTTTAAATATTCTTAGTTGTAAATGGACATAATAACTTCATTTTATTTATTTTTATATGTAGTGCTGAGGATTGAACCCAGTGCCTCATGTGTGCTAGGCAAGTGCTCTACCACTGAGCCACAATCCTAGACCCTGAAGTTATCTGTCTTTATGTTGACTTTTTATGTTAATTTTTTTCTTTTTCTTCCTTTATTCTATCCTAGCGTCTTACGGAAAGAAATGAAAGTTGACCAATTCTGTCATCAGGCACCGCTTTCACGAATGGTCACAACTGTGAAACCTTACAACCCCTTCAACAGAATAGAAAAAAAAACGATAGACCTCTGAAAGAAGCCACACCCTGAGAGAGATTTCTAAGCCACTCATCCTGGAAAGGCATTGTGTATTACATGATGGGAAAATACAAGAGCCAGCCACGGTCTGAGTGTGTGTGAATGAGTTGTGGTGTAAAAGGCAGTGCAATCTTGCCTTGCCTCAGCCAGACATGAACCAATCCACAATGGCAGCTGAGACCCTAAAAACCACCCCACCAGGTCTTGCTGCAGGAGACTCCTCTTCAGGCTTGGAATACTGGGTCTCTCTAGAGGTTTCCCATCCTGGTAATGTGACACAACCAGCAGGGTTATAACTGCACAGCCTAGATCATAAATTTGAGGATCAGAGATGAACTTGTCAAAAACCGACACATTATCAATGGGAAAGTTGGACCATGGAGAGAGATAATCACATTCTTCCTTGTCACATGGGGGACATCACCACATGGGGACAACAACTGTATGTAGAGGGGAAAAATACACTCTTGATTTACTCTGTTGTTTCTCAAACACATCCTGGATTCCATGAGGGTCCATAGGCAGAAAGGATCACTCGTGCCGAGATTCAGGTTGGAATGGCCAAAGAGAACGTAAGTGCAAAATCAGTCCAATTTTGTATTCAGGCTGTGGGGTTCCTTTTGGCCCTTCAGCTTATTTATATGTGTGTGTACATATCTGTAGAACCTATTAAAGTTCACAAAATACTTTCATAAACCTTAGCTCATTGACCTTGCAACCCTATCATAAATTCTTATAGCAGGCATTTTACATATATGTTGCTATTTAAAATGTTTTTATTGGTGCATTATAGTTGTACATAATAGAGAGATTTATTAGGCTGTGTTTGTACATGCACAAAACAATTTGATCAATCTCACTTGAATAAAATGTACTGAGCCTAGGAGAAGTATTTATCTGGAACTCAGGTTTCCTGAGTTCAGATATCTTACCACCCCACCCCCCTCCATTTCTCTGCAAATTGGATAACCTCCATTGAAATATTAAAACAAACAAACAAGACAAAGAGAAACAAAAAGCTCACTGCATTTCTCGGGTTTTCTGAAGTGTATCTCAGGGCTTCCACCTGACAATCCCCTTCTTCCCCTAAAATTCAGAACAAATAGTTGTCCCACAGAAGTCTAAGTAACTGCAAATTCTTTTTTTTTTTTTAAGAGAGAGAAAGAGAGAAATAGGGAGAGAGAGAGAGAGATTTTTAATATTTATTTTTTAGTTTTCGGTGGACACAACATCTTTGTTTGTATGTGTTGCTGAGGATCGAACCCATGCCAGGCGAGCA